AAATCGATGAATAAAGATAACGAAGAGCAGGGAATATGATAAACGAAGAAGAAGAAGAAGAATAAAAAAAAATATAATGCCATTTTTATGTATACATATATTGTACTAATGATTACTATAAATTTTTTGTTTTATTAATATTATTCTTACTATTACTATGGTTTATTATCGTCGGATACTGATTCTTGTTTATAAAATAATTACTATTAATTGATAATTATCGCGCGGTCGCGGATCACCGTTGTAATATGCGCTTTGATTTTTATACATAATATATATATAATATATATATATATATCATATATTATTATATGTATATAATATATATATATATAAAGAATCGATTACTCTGTAGGTGACGTAAGTGTATTTTGATATAGTGCACGATATCGTATGCGTAGGTGCGTGCGTGCGTACGTGTGTGTCTGTGTAAATGTGATGTGTCTGCGTGCAAATGTGACACGAATAATTCTACATGTGTCCGGCCTCAATCGTCGGGCATACGCAGAACAAATTTTACATTATTTGTAAATGTCGTTGAGTTATCGGTACGTCTGTTTTATTTTTTTGTTTTTTTCCGTGCTTATTTTTTTAGCTAGATATCGTACAGGCAGTTACTTTTCCATCGAGACGAATGGCACTCCTGGTATCGTCCGCGAAACAATTCGCTAACAATATGTCACGGAAGCATACGAATAGAAATTTAATTGTATTATACCATTGAACCCCGAACCTAACTATGACAGATTTTAGAAAATTTTTGGTATTTACAAATTATAACGATTGACACGAATACGTACTATTTCACTGTCAAAATTTCCAAGTTTTTCTTCAGTCGATTTTCAATGAACGGCAAAATTTCTCATACGTACGATACGCGACGTGCCGTTCGTCGGCAACACAATTCCTCCTGGAAGATGTAACACGCGTCTCAATCAAGACTGTAAATAGCAAATAGCAGGCGTTCGATGGACCTCCACCTTAAGGTTCCCACACTACTCCCGACGTTTAAGTGCCTAAAAAGAAAGAAAAAAAAAATGGAAAGGAAAGAAAGAAACCGGAATAAAACGCGTCTATCCTCCTCGAACCTTCGTTGTCTAGTTTCTAGAAGTGGGTAAGATACTATTTTGACGGCTGGATGCCACCACGAGACATATAACTTTCAAAGGGCTAACATACATACCGTTTCAAGAGTGCTGCAACACACACACACACACACATACACACACACACATACATACACTTTCTCTTCGTCGTAGAATCTCGGAGTTTTTAAACGCTTTAATAAATAATAGTAAACGCTACCAGTAGTGAAGAATAATGTAGGAAAACAGGCAAAATAAAAAGGAAAAAAAATGGGAAAAAACGTATAAAAATGAGCATATTTGCGAAACATCAGTGTTGAAAAAAAAGAGAGTTACACAATAGGAAACGTTTAAACAAGGATTATAATGCAGAACCATAGTGACGATGAAGAAAGAACAAGTAGAAAAATAATCGTCATTCCCACTTTGATGAATTAATATACGTATAATATATAAATATATTGACTATATATATATATATATATATATATATATATATATATATATATATATATATATATATATATATATATATATATATATATATATATATATATATATATATATATATATATATATATATATATATATATATATATATATATATATATATATATATATATATATATATATATATATATATATATATATATATATATATATATATATATATATATATATATATATATATATATATATATATATATATATATATATATATATATATATATATATATATATATATATATATATATATATATATATATATATATATATATATATATATATATATATATATATATATATATATATATATATATATATATATATATATGACTATATATATATATATATATATATATATATATATATATACATATTCATATATATATATATATGAATATATATGTTATATATATGTACGTAAAAGACGAAATAGTATTTTATCTGACTGCTAGTTTCACGTCACAGTGGACGAATGTCGTTCGACTCACCCTCAGCAGATCTCAGCACTCTAACGAAACGAACGTGGATCGTTTATTTTTTATTCGCGCATAAAAGTCCCGCTCGTTTCCGTGGAGCGCGTTTATGAACACCGGTGTTCACAGGGTACATCGGAAATCGGGATTCACGACTATAATACGTAAGATTCATATGTTCAAAATATATTACATTTTAGGCAGAAATCGGATTTTTCGAATAAATTTATATAAACTCTCCATTCCCTCGTGGAATAGAAATTCTATGATGGAAATATACAAACTCTAGAGCACAAAGGATCAATGTACAAATGCCTGTAAAGCTAAATTCAAGGAATTTCTCTACTTTCTGTTTTCGAGCTTGCGAATAAAAATTACCCTCCCTTATCCTTCACTCTCTTTCTCTCTCTTTCTCTCTCTCTCTCTCTCTCTCTCCCTCTCTCTCTGTGTAAAGTATAATTATATAATTATTCGTTAAAAATCCGATTGCCTTCGGTACAATTGAATCGTTCAACCCCTGTTCCAGTGATTATATCGTACAAAGAAGCCGCAATCGATTCACGATGCAACCTGTGAACGCGCGAGCGCGTGCGTGTATATTAATTATTACAGAATATATATATAACAGAGTATATATATAAAATAAATGAAGAAAAAAGTATATATACACAAAGATACACGAGTATATCCGTGAGAATAAAGAAAGATGGAACCTTGAGGTCGCGGCACGGGTCCCTGAAACCGGAAGTACCGCGACGACGAGAGCCGATATTTTGTTGCGCGTGCAGAGAAGTCAATTTTTTCGATTACAAAATAAAGAAGAAACCCCTTACATCACTGTAACATACCTCTAGAACGTTTCATAGTTTAAATTAGCCTTCGGGTTATCGATCGATGATCGAGCACGTTCAGTCGATATTTTCCAAACGGTGAGATCGGTAAGAATCGCAAAAGAGAGAGAGAAAAAAAAAGAAAAGAAAATCAAGATATGTAAAAGTGGGAAAAAATCGAAGAGTGATTTCGATGCTTGGTAATCCGAGGGTTAAGACTGATTCAGCAAACACGCTATAAGAAAACCAGATCGAGCGTATTTTGTAATTATGCTATTATTATTATATTATATTATATTATTATATTATATTATTATATTATATTATTATATTATATTATTAATATTATTATTGTTTATAATTACGATTACTATCGAATTTGTTTTTAATAAACGGCAGGTGCCATGATTACGAATTCTTTCGGTGTATTTTACTCTACGCTATAATTAACGTGGTTCTATTATTTTTTTCAGTAAAGCTACGAGTAACGCGTATCCAAAGCCAAAACGTTCTTCCTGATCAACACATTATCTTATGATCGTAACGAAGCTAGAATAGCAGCACAGTTCTCATCCGTGGGCAAACATTGCCCAAAAGCTTCCAACAGCAAAGGTTCCTCCGTCACAGCAACCTTGTAATCCTGAAAAGAGATTTTCCCGTCTCGATCCACGTCCAGCTTCTTTAACGCCAGTTCAGACAGATCTTTCACCGCCTCATCCGGATCCTCTTCTCCTGGCTGCTTGATTAAACAATTCCTAGAGCATTGGATAAACGTTTATGGTTAATACGCGAGTGAGTACGACTCTGTTTCACAAAAAAGATCGATACTTGAATAATTGGAATATCTCATCTTTCGTAATGAAGCCATCGTTGTTCAAATCATAGACTTTGAAACAAAATTCAATTTTCTCCCGTAGACTACCACGAAGATACAGATCCAGTCCCATGATCCATGGTTCTAGCCTGATGATTCCTTCGTTTTCTCGATCCCAGCAACAGAACATACGTTCCACCAGCACGTCTTCGGTGATTACCTTGAACGTGTTGTGCAGCAACTCGCGGAAAATCACCCTGTCGATACCCTGAAAAATATTCCCGTGTCTCTTCACGATAAACGGAAGGAGCAAAGTAAGCGATGCAGAAAAATTTGTTTAATATCTTTTCTTAAATTAGAACTCGTTACTTATATTCGAATGTTTCTCAACAATTTGGGGATCGAAATATCACACAATGCGCGCCGTGGCCATCGCATGTTCATTCGTGCCACTATTCATGCACGCGAGTTAAAATTCCTATAATTTAAAACACTACGAGTGTCACTACCTCTATAGTTTGATTTGACTGAGTCCTCCTCCCGATAATAACAGATTGTCCAACCTGTTGCTGTCCAGAAGTAGTCAATTTTTTGTACAGCTTGCACAAATTATCCAATTCCGACCTGCAATAGGAATTACGTTATTACAAATAGGTAGTTATTATAAAATTAATGTACCTGTCATACCTAAACAATTTTTAGAACCTATAATCTTTTCATTTTTTTTATTTTTTTTTTTATTACATTTCCACGCGTGATAACTTGCTCGAGACTTACAATAAAAATCGTAGAATAATTTATTGCAAATTCGTCGATTAGATCTCGATTCCTTTCGAAAATGACCTTCTCAACGCTAAATGCACCGGAGTTTCCGTTTCTTTTTTAAATTGCTCTTTCCGGTGTTAACGATAAAACGATCGACGGTTAGGCGTATTTTTACTTGCCAGCAGAACCTGCTTTTCCTTTTTAGCGATTCGATCAATTTGGCCGTGTACGCCGAGCTTCTCGTAATTCCCGCGATTGGCATCCTTCTGCGATGTTTTCTTCGAGGCTCGTGCTTCGGGCTGCCGGAAGTCTGCCTGTTGCTGTTGACGGAGGCTTTACGACCGCTCATCAAGAAGATCGAGACACTTTTCATCAACGTTGCGCCTGCACAAAGGTTGACGGCGCCTCGATTATCGGCGCCGACGCTGACGTTGACGCCGACGCCGACGCCGACGCCGCTCCCGTGATCCATTCGAGCTTTCGCGCTCGACGTGAGGCTGCGTTCCCTGGACATCCGTCTGAAATCCGCGAGCAACAGCCAGTACATCGATTGGTCAGTGTTTCGGTCATTTTTAATGAAGTTTTAGAATTTTGTCGGATATCATCGAGAGATTCATCCTTGATGGAACTTTTTCAGAAGATTTCCACTGGTAAGTCATTTATCAATCGAATTAATATCGTTCAGTAGCGTTTACGAGTTGAAATGTGAAATTTTTGCTGGTGACTTTGCCTTGTTTCAATCCACCGATCGGATTTTCCAGTAGAGAAAATCTTGTTCCTACGGATTAGGTTCCGAGGTAGTTTCACATTTCAACGTCTGAATTTCGATAAACTTGATAGTTGATTAATTAATCGTTTAGGAAACGTCGTTAGGAAACGTATTTCCTTGGTTCTAATTATAGCAGATATAACTTGAATGCAAATTGATCGCGCCAAGACAATTGAAGCTATGGTTACGGATCGATTGATCAATAACACGCAATGATTCATCGTTTTCCATTAGAAACCGAATCTTCCCCCTATTTCTTCCTTCGAGTCCTTCGATAAAACGTAGTTGTCGTGTCTTCACGCAATTCGATTGTGACACACGTTTTTGGAATTGAACGAGTTTAAGGACAAAATCTGCTCGTCAAACGTGTATGTCGAACAATTTGGAAAATTGATATTTCCTTTGCGATTCTCTTGTCGTTTTCATGATTTGACACGTATTCGTGATTCCATTTGTATGAAAATTTGCAAAAATGATTTGATAACGTTTCGCTTTACGTAAAGTAAAGACTTTCCAGAAGTAGAAACCAAGTTATACACGTATGTATTATAGACGTATACATTAATTTGCATAAGCAAAGTACTTTTCAAGTATTTCGTGCAAGATCAGATTGGCTCGTATCAAAACCTCGTTAAAAAATATGAAGGTATCGTAGCACTTACGAGATCGTTGGGCAAATAAAAATATGATTTCTATTCCGAGATATTTCTAGCGTGCTTTGTTATGTCGTGCCTGGCACTACAAGCGAGAACCAATTTCACAAAGAATACGTAATAACATTCCGGATATTGCTCCAATTAACTTTCGCTAGCTAACTGAAATTAGATCTAAACTTGAAATTTACATCGTTTTAAATATCGATACTCTGCGCTTGAACGAATGCAACTCTCTCTCTCTCTCTCTCTTTCTCTCTATTGTACAACTATAGTTTCGCTGCTGTAGGTGTTGGTGAATTCGTTGCTTTAGTTTCCAACGATTTATCACTTAAGGAAAGCTCATTGTTCGCGGTTTATCTAGCTAGCAGTGTAATTCAATGGTTACATCGGAATGAATCGAATTAACTAATTTGAATTCAGATACCAGAGGTGCAATTTCACAGCAGATTAAATCGCGTCACGGCTAGAAACACCATCGACTTCCAATTCTCGGTTTAGCTTCTGCAAGTTTGCATACACGCGATTCATGAGTCATGCAAGTAGTTTCAGCCATTGCATTGGTAAAACAGAAAGAAGAAGAAAGAAATATGAAAGGAATAACTTGTAACTCCTTAAATATTGTTTTAAGCTGCTCATCCTTCCTAGATATCTTCAAAATCTCTTTTCGCTTTGAAGTAACAATGTATCAGTACAATGCAATTACTTGTTCTTTTACTGAAAAGCATCAATACGACTCAAGGACTTACTTTGCGTTTGAAACGTAGTCGCGACATATTTATTTGCGCTACATCTTTCGCTCGAAGCTTTCAGGATTCAGGATTGAAGATAAAGCTAAGCGTTCTCTCGTGTGTAATTTCATTCAGGCAGCATCGTTTTTGCAACTTTGTAACAATTGCAATAGCAATAAACTTACCCTACGATGAGAAGAAAATGTTCGGCTCGCGATGGTTTCTTTCTTGTTGCTACCAGTTACAGCAATCGATCAAACTTTCTGGACGAAAGCGGTCTCACGTAACGTTTCAGTCATTCGTCAACGATATTAAAACACGTTTGTCGATAAGAAGCTGAATTCTTTACGATATTTTTATGGAAAAAATTTTTATTCAGAAAACGTACAATTATTTATCGAGAAGAAATTGTACAAAGGAAGATATTAATTCGCCACTCGTACTAGTTTCATAAACTTTGCTTTGTAATCGCCTAAACTCTAAAGTATCGACACTTTCTTGGGCTGATTCATCGACGCGAACTTTTCAGGATCGCTCGAGCTCGACTGAGTCAACAGCGTAGAGTGATATTTCCTGAAAAACCGTTTTATGTTTAAAATTCCGCGAACAATTACCAGTAACAATGAGTTTTTTGATTTTAAATTGTCCGAAATACAATACACTTGGCGGAAAATACAAATTAAAATGTCACTTGAAAGATAATTTCAAAGGCAAGATACGCAATATCATTTATCAAAAACGCCGAATTACTCGATAAATTAGTCTAATACAATCATTCGCAAATCGTTCTCCTATAGCGTCGCTAATAATTTTTGATGTGCTGTGAAATACCAGTTTGAAAAAGTTACCACTAGATTCTTCTTTCTTTACCTGCAAATTCTGTCAAACACACTTTGAACGAAAGCCAAGTGTTTATGCAATTTCACCATTACGTTGTCCAATTGTCCGGCGTTCTTCGCCTTTTTTAATTCCAACTTGTTCACCGATTCGATGCGGTTTGGAATTCCTCGAAGAAAAGTATAGAAATTAGGAAATTGTAACGTAGGATTATTTCTTACGACTATCGTAGACTTTCTTCCTAAAAATTACTCGAGTTCTCCCGATTCTCGTTTCCCTGACCGTCACGTTGGTAAAAATTTAGCTGTTCCAGCGAATTTAGAATATTCGCCAAACCATTATCGGTCTTCGACATCGGTTTTATGGACGTTGGTATCGCGCTGGTATTCATCATTTCGTTGATCGCCAGGTCAAGATTTTTCAATGTGATGATGCCCTCCTCGACCAAGTCTCTCACGACCATTATGAATTCCTCCATTAATCGAGCCTGAAATATTAAATTAATCGCTGCATTATTATCAATGTATCATTATTATTAATACATCTTTTTCTTATTTTCACTCGCAGATCGTGCCCCTGTAATTTCTTCGGAAAAAATTAGAAGCACTTTGTACGTTAAAATACGATTGTGTGGTTTATGAATGATACTCGCTTCCTGTTGTATTAGATTGTCTAAATTAGGAAAGTCTCTGCGAAGTTTCTCGAAATAATCGCCGCTTCCTAATAGAGCCGCACGTAGATTCACGATTTCTTCTATGGAGCTTTCTGTCCGACGCAAGTCATTTCCGGGGAACTCGCGGTCAGAGACCCGCTGAACTCGGACGCTTCGCTGTTCACCTTCTTGCGTTCGATTTTCTTTGCAATGAAACAAGAAAAGAAAAAAATGGGGAGAAAAACGAACGATATTAGCACCTACAAATTCTCGAAGACGTGGATAAATGACAACTTTAATCTTCGTTTTATCATGAAGATAATTTTCTCTTACCTGTCGATCCTAATTTAGCGAAGGATCCGTACTGTACCTAGAAACAGATTTATCAACGTTGAATCGATACTAACGAGAAAGATACGACTTCTACTCACTTTCAAGAAGAATAACACTAACAAAACTGTTAGGAGCTTCATTCTTTTTGTAACTTTCTATTCGGATCCTTGGAGAAAAGTCGATCATCAATCGAACTACGTCGATGATTGCTGCTGGCTGGTTGAGCGATCGATTTTATAGTGGCGAAATGCGTGGTTAAACGCACTCTGCTATGCCATGTTTTCCAAACATCCCTTCCTAACATCGCGATAAAATCAGGCGCAGCTATTTCACGACGAATCATTCTGAGTTGTTACGAATGTTAAATGTTCGCACCGTTAGAACATTCTCTGATGTTCAGTCAGTTTCAATTCAGATATAGTAAAATAATCTTAACTCTGATATCATCTTTCCAAAAGGATATCCTTTAGATAAATTTAGATAATTTTATTTTACAGGCTGGTCCTTAAGCGATGGTACGATTGAACACAGGATGATTCAACGTGGAAGAACAAGTCGAAAATATGGAAAAAAATATCTTCATATGACTCTTCGTTTCTGAGAAAATCGAGTTTAAAGATTTATCTGGTATATTTAAACTTGATTAAGTAGCCACTAGATTGGTAGGTAAACAATCGGCAAAAGGCTATTATACCTGCGAAGATAAGTAAAAAGTGGAAAATGAAATTTGAGGTCTCGTTCTTAAGCAAGTAAAGTTTGAATATGTTTGATTAAAAACTGGTTTCAATACGACGTTTTCCTAGAAAACGAAGCATCCTGTGGAAAAAATGTTATTCTACGCTTTTGACTTATTTTCACACGTAGTTCAGCTTGTTTATTTACTCTTGCTCAGCCTGGAATCATCCGAGTTTAAATATATTTGTCAAATTTGCAAACTCGATTTTCTCAAAAACGAAGCGTCACAGGAAAATATTTTATTCTACATTTTCTCCTTACTCTTTCTCGTCTGATTGTATCGCCATTTTACAATCTTTACGAGACACTTTATATCCACCAGCTTCGACGATGAAAGATGATATTATTTTGAAACACGTCAGAAAAATCTCTGACATAAGTAGGTGACATAGGTAGTACACATAAAGTAGGTGTAAATTGAATATGGGTTTATATCCTAAAAAAAAAAGAACAACCTAATCCAGTCTAATGTACAAAAGTTTATTTTACAAAATACTAAGTCAAACGTTCAGATATCGTACAAAATTGAGCATCATAGGCTAGGCATCATAGCGAACGAATTCCTTATCGCCCATATCCGTAGCTTCTGCAATGAGAAAAGACAATGTATAAAATTCTGATATAAATGTAATGTTTGAAAAATAATTCGATCTAATCTCGAATAAATGAATTTTTATTGGAAATCAGTAATTGACGAATAATGAATATTTACCCGGCCTTCGCGCTCGCGAAAGATGCGCTTCCGAATGGGGAGCTGATGGAACCGGCGTGAGCAGACGAAGAACTACCGCCTCCATGGGGATAGCCCCCGTATCCACCGTATCCACCGTGTCCACCGTATCCACCGTATCCACCGTATCCACCGTATCCACCGAATCTACCGTGTCCACCGAATCCACCGAGTCCACCGAATCCACCGAGTCCACCGTAACCGAAGTGG